TACATACATACATACATACATACATACATACATACATACATACATACATACATACACACATACACACATGCACAGAAACAGACAGACATACACAATTACATACATATCGCATACACTGATTTCAATTTCAGGACAGCAGCAGCATTTTGCAGCGTTATAGTCTAGATTAAATAAAAAATGTAGCATTGATGTTATCAATATGTTATGATAAAGGTTACGGAGTTCAAAGATCACATGGGGGAGCGTGAATGGTTGAATAAGAAAGCTAACAACAATACTGAATAATCTCACTCGAATATTATAAGCCTTAAAGAAAACACGCCAGAAATAAGTAAGTCCAAAGGAAAGAATGAAAGCAGGATAAGTACGTGTTCGTTTATAAACATGATGTTGTCGCAGTGTGTCATACATCTACATAAATGCTGATGTATCGTACATATGTTCATTTTATAATGATAAAAATGATAAGGAATTGATAGGAGATGTGACGGGAACAGTAAATGTGTATTGTATATTTTTATTTAATATTCAGTCTTTATTTAGGAAATTCATTCTTTTAATCAAATTAAATATTAAAGTCTTGAAGTTTTACCCTTCATCTTTTTTTGTTTCTTCAATCTTCTATTAATGATGATAAGATGGTTATCTTATCTTTTTTTTCTGCTTTGTCATCACTAATTCATCCAAATTTTACCATACAGTAACACGGCACATTACATTGGTATATCATACCATATATCATACCGGCAGCACAGTAAGCAAACATGAAAATCTTCAGCAACGACTTGTTGCAATAACAACGTTTCTCAATCTTTTCTTGACCAAAGTCAATTTTGGCTTTTTTTATTTGTAACAGGAACTGCAAGGTTCAAAAGTAATAAATTCTGTTAATTTAAAAATAAACGTTGATCAAAACTTTTCGACATATTACTTTATCAAACAATAATAAAAACATTTCCCGCTTGTTTTCCACTTACCGTTTCACCACTTTCACGGGTCATATTTCAGTTTTCTCGAATTATCGGTTGGAAATCACTGATTCAACAAAACATCATCATCATCTAGAACATCATCCATCAAGGAAATCTCGAACAACATCTTTTTTCTCACGGAATTTTTTGGTTTATTTGAAATATCATTTGTATTGTATTGCTACGATATAATAATTCCTATTGTTAGCAGTTGTTGCAGGAAGAATTCCTTGAATTCCTGACTCCCAAGAATTCAAAATTAAAAGAGTATTGGTATGCAATTCTGGAAAATGCAATTTGATATTTGCACTTGAAAAATACAAAGATTTCAACTTTGACATCATATTAATGGTAGTAATCAATTAGAATATTCCGGGCAAATCATTAGGATATATTAGTCACTACAGTATATCTATTACGACTTCTGGGTAAAAAAGCAGTAATCCGGGCAATGTTGTAAGGTGATGCGCAAATGTGATCTCGACAATAATGTAGGATGATGCGCAAATGTGATCTCGACAATGATGTAGGATGATGCGCAAATGTGATCTCGACAATGATGTAGGATGATGCGCAAATGTGATCTCGACAATGATGTAGGATGATGCGCACATGTGGTCTTGACAATTATGTAAGATGATGGGCATACAACAAATCAAAACAATGACCATGATGACCAATTACTAGTTATCAATTACCAATGGCCAATTACTATAATATTCGTTTCATCCGCAATAACTTCCATTTGTAATGCATGTTAGTTCTAGTAATTATGTATAACTTTTTTTAAATACTAAATATATATGTATATACATTAATTTTAGAAATTCTAGAAGCGATGAAAAAAGATATGCAGAATTAAAGAAATGATTAAAATGACAATTGGTGACAATATTATCAAATTAATTTTTATGCTATCGATCAGTTGAAATCTTACAATTAACCGAACATTTATTTGAGCAGTTATAAACATTTCAAAAATAAAAAAAAAAAAAAGAAAAAAAGAACGCGCACATTATTATTTATTATGCAATTCAAATAAAAGGAAATAATAGTTATTTTATGTTACATAATTATGGTGAATTTTATGCAAATTAAATGATAGATCGATCAGTTATGAACGATTGATTTACCGTATGATATCGATTAGTTATGAACGATTGATTTACCGTGTAACATCGGTCAGTTATGAACGATTGATTTACCGTATAATATCGATCAGTTATGAACGATTGATTTATCGTGTAATATCGATCAGTTATGATTGTTCAACTAATTAAATATTTTTTCAAAGCAATTGCAAACATTTGTATACTAAAAAAGTGTATATATTTTTATATAATTTAAAGAAAAAAAAGAATAATAATTCTTTTATTTACAAAATAACAATGAATATTTTTATTTGATAATATTTGTTATCGATCGGATATGATCATAGAACTGATAAAATATTTTCTTATACAATTATAAATATTTCAATGTTAACATAAAATACATACATTTATATGTAAATTAAATAAGGAAATGATAATTACTTTGAGTTAAATAATTATGATGATTTTTTTTTTTTGATAAAATGAACTCATTTTCAGTAATAAAACATGATATGCCAGGAAGATCACTTATATATCATTAATTTTTTAGTTGCTGTTACCTAATCTTAATTTTATCATCTTACAATCCATTACTTTGCTTTCCTAATCAATCAATTAGTTAATTAACTTACTTATTAATTAATCGATCTCACCTTTAGTGATATACCAAACAATTTTGCGTGAATATTTTTTTTTACAAACTCCTTACCTTCTTTTTGATTATCTTTTACACTTTCACAGTATGATCTCTAAAATATTAATATCTTTGCAATTATTTAGCTTATTCGTTGTTGATTTTTATAAGGATATGAATTGTATATGATAATTGATATGATAACTGCTATATAACCCAAACAATATAATAATGATGGTGGTGTAAAATTGAAAAGAATCCAAGAACCAAATGTTGCACCAAGTATTGATGCACTCTGAAAATAAACTTTCTTCTAACAAATTCTTTTTTTACCAAGATTAATTCATTTATACTACAGATGTGATAATGTGTAAAATATTATAATAATAATAAAGAAGTAACAAGTATTATAAAATTTTGAATATTTGTTATGATATAATATTATTTTAGTAAATTATTTCGAAATTAAAATTAATTTTTTCCTTCTTTTTTAATGACTTAAAAAAAGAAAGACAAAAATTAAAATTTGAAATATAAAAATGAATTACTAATTATTTACTTGTGCATAAGTTTTTGCAATATTATCAGCATATTTGATAACGACCGAAATTAACAATCCACCAGCTGAATTCATTAAAATTAATATCCATACCAAAATATCAAAACCACGAAATATTCCACCTTAAAGTTTTTTAATAAAATGAAATGATCAATAAATTAGATATATACAAGTATTTAAGAAAAAAAAAATTTAGCGGATAAATGATTAATTCATTTTTTCATTCCTTTTAATTCCTTTATAATTTATTAATTCCTTTATAAATTTCACTTTTTCTTTTAATTTTGAAATAAATTTAAAACTTTTTACATTACATTACAAATAGAGAAGAAAAAGATAGTTTCATTACACTACATCATGAAAAATAATATACTAAGTTATATATCAGATATAACATTACCACATATTTTTCTCTGGTATTTCTTTGTCGTGGGAGAGTACTTTATATGTCCCCTTTTACTGAGGTTGCTATCGGTGACATATGCTTCTATATCCTTTCGTCTCTTTCTTTTTCTCATGCCAGACAGTTGTCAACTAAATGGTGGTACATCCATGGTTAGGATGATGTTCGCTATCTCCCGGTAATCATCTTAAGAAAACGACAATTCTAATTTCAAATCCGAACAGATTACCAAACTAGTTTGATCATGTAAGGCTATCCATCCCAGAAAAGGATACTCTAACAAAACCTATGTTCTGAGGATTTCATTGTCACCGTCATAGCTTGCTAGGCCCTTGACAAATGAACTTTACAGTTACGCATATACTGTGCTTTACCCAAAAAATCTACTGTATAGGTTTGAAGGATATTTACATTTGTGGCGTTTACAGAAAGCATGATTTAAATCATTTCTAAATCTTTTTTTTTTTCATGAGCTTAACCATGATGATAATAATAATAATGATAATAATAATAACAATAATAATAACTTTATACAAATGATTGCTATTGTATATATATATATAGTGACATTTAATATATTAAGTATCCATGCATAGTATTATTTGATGATGGTGATGATGATGATGATAATTTGATATCAATGATTGCTATTGTATATATGTAACAATATTTAATATATTAACTTAAGTATTTATAAATAGTATTACTTAATATTAATGATAATTATTGTATAGTAATATTATTATAAATTATTATCTACTAAAATTAACAAGATTTAAATCTTTTAATTGCACATAATCGATAATTACCGATCAGAAAAAAGGAGAAAGGGAATGAGGAAGGAGAGAGAGAGAGAAAGAAAGAGAGAGAGGAAGGAAAGAGATGAAAAAGATAACCTTTTTTAATCGTAGGATAATCACAGATCCAAATTAACAAGCAATTAATTGGAATACCAAGTAGAGCAAGTCGGACATTTTGTAACCAAATATTTATTGAATTTCGTTTTAACACTTTTTCCAAATAAACACATGCAATTTTAGGTTTTTTTAAAAAACGAAAAATTTTATCTTTCCACTTTTCAAATTGTAATTAAAATCTATAATACATATCAAATTTTAAAATCAATAATTAAATTACCGTTAGATAATTAATTAATTAAAAGATAAAAAAGAAATGGTAAAAAGTACATACTAGCAAAAGCAGATGTGAAACACATTGTTATAACAGCTACAAAACCCAATAATGGTTTTTGATTAATTTCAGGAATTTGATTAGCTGGAATATGTTGTATTTGAATATTAGCTATTCCAGCAGCTAATAATATTAATGCAAACCATTGTTGCCATGTAAAATGATGATCAAGCATTATCCAAAGCATTAAAGCAGTAATGAATATTTTAATTTGATGAATTAACTGAAATTTAAAATTTAAAAGTTAATTAAACTAAATCAGTTATTTACAATAACAATTTATGTTGGAGATATAAAAGATGTTATTTATTTGCAAATTTATTCATTCTTTTATATCATTTTTATTCTTTTTCTTTTTTTTCTGATGAACGTGTGAAATATCACTTTAGAAATTGAATAAATTTTATTTTATATTATATTTTCAATAATTATGAATGAAGTTCTTTCTTTCTTTTTTTTTTCACAATATTAAGAATTATATTTGGGCCGAAATTATTCAATCGTTTATGTTTTATAACAAAATTTTACCGCCAAGATTATTTGGCGGTAAAAATATTGCATTACAATATTAATGAATTGATGACGGTCATATGCAAAATTTCATCTTTGTAATTAATTTCAACCAAGCAAAAATACTATAAATATATGTTTGTTTTAAAAGGTGACTTTCAATGACAAAGCTAAGTAATCGAAATATTTTGAAATGATTTAAGAATTAAAAAGCTTACACAATATGTGGTTGGTTCCAAATGTGTAAATGCGATATAATATAAATTATTTTGAATTGTATAAATTATAGCTGTTAAGCATACTTTAAGCGTTTCAGTATAATTACCTGTGATAATATTGTGGCAAGATGAAAGATACCTGAAGAAATTTTCAAATATTTGCATATTTAAGACATTATTTAAATTTCAATTTGTTGGTAAATTATACGTTATATGTGCTAATAATTATCAATTCTTTAAAATTCCTATTTATGATTAAGTTTTAAGAATTTAGACTTAACAAATTGAAACGAAATGATTACTTTCTAAACGATGCTTCATTTAAAATAATTATAATTGATGCAATCAGAAATTTCACCACTTCTCCAATAAATACAGTTACTGTTGTATGAAATCTTTCGTCGGGTATACGATATCGTGTTGAATAAGTCAGCAATGGCATACTGTAATGGCTTGACAAATTAATTAGAATTTTAAAAAAAAAAGAAAGGAATAAGAAAATTAAGCATTTAAAGATTAAAAATGCAAAAACTAATTAACAAACTAATGGAAAAATTATGACAAAAATTTAAAGGATAGAAATTAATTGACAAATTAATATTAAAATTATATTCCATTGTCATTTTTATTTGGCATCAAATAATTCTTTTAATTTTTATGCTATATTTTCACATAAATTTAACCCAAAATATTACCAATTAAATAATATCTTAAGTGTAAAACTCTGTGTTCTTTTTTGTTTTTTTTATAGAAAATTAAAAAAAAATTTGTCAAAATATATTTTAAGAAAATTTACCATGTTTGCTGAATGATAAGTAAACAAATACCAGAAAATTTGTACAATGAGTCATCATATTTGTTAACAGCAATCATTATCATAAATAATCCATGTGTAAGATGATGATAAAGAAGGAGAAGAAAGATAAATGATAAAACAAAAATAAAATGATTAAAGAGGAAGAAGGAAGCCTTTCCTGGATATTTAAAAGGGTCAAATTGTTCAATCTGATGTCATTTTCATTATATTTATTTAGGTCAAAATGAATTAGGTCATCTATTTCATCCATCAATAACTATTAAATAATTGTTTTGAGTAGAAGAGAATAATATGCAAAATGAATGAATGAATGAATGAATAAGAAGGAAAATGATATGAATACAGATTGTGAAAAAAAAAATGAAAACAAAGCGAAAATATAATTTCAAAAATTTTTATCGTAACAACCAACAAGTAATTGCAAAGGAATATTTTGTTTCAAAAAAACAAAAATTTAATTACTTATTTAAAAAGTTTTTGGTTGTAAGCATAAAATTAGGAAATTTT